TCTAACCCACATCTCTAACTCTTACTAAAACGCTTAAGAGACTCAGGAGAACACAAGACGCGAACATCACCTGCGTGAGTCACGGTAACCACGTGGTTTGTGTCCGCTGTCTTCACAGGACAGCTCAGAAACACGTCCTGGACAGCACCGACACTGAGAGGCGCTGCAGACTCCCTGCGAGCAGCACCACCCGATTCCCACCCCACAGCCCGTGCGCAGAACCCCCTCAGCTCCAGAGCCCCCAACCCACAGTGAGCACCCCCATCTTGCTCGGTCCCCTTAATGGCTTTGGCCTGAACTGAAAAGGTAAGAGGAAGGAGAGAGGAAGAGAAGAGTTATTTAAACGGGATTCCCAATGCTCCACCCTAGGTACTCTTGAAAGAATATTAAACAAAAAAATTTCCCCTTCACCACGTTGAACATCCTTCCTCAAAGTCTTTTTGGTCCTGTTCATTTGTACTCATAAAACTTTTCCAGGTCTCATGTTGCAAAAAGGGCAAGAAGGCCACATGCTCTGACCTCCTCTAATTCCACAAGAGGAAGACAGAATCACCATCAACAGCCCAAGGCCTATTCCTGCAAGGCCAGACATGCTGCCTCCCTCTAGCCCTTTCTCCAACTGTTCCTCCCAAAGCACCCACGCCTCTCTCCTGGGTTCGATAATTCGCTGCAGTGGCCACACAGAATTCACAGGTTATGGGATTTATTAGGGAAGCACCAGGCTACAATTCAGGTTTAGGAAACACTCTCAGTCTCTCTTCCAGCCCACCATCCTACAGCCAACAGTCTTTCACAGTCTCTTTCCCAGCAGTGCTGGTCCCTCGGTGTCTCACTCAGCAATGCGTGTCTCTTGCGTCTCTTTCCCAGCAGCACATCTTCCTCAACCAGCAGTCAGAGAGAGTTCTGCCTCTAGGAGGCCTCCTTTTGAGCTTGGCAGAGTGGCCAAACCAACCAATCATAACAACAGAATTCTAAGCACCTGAGAGTGAGCCTCCCATAACATTGCGTTGTGCCACGCCCAACAGAAATAACCCAGGTGGGTAACATTTACAATCAGGAGCTCCTCAGTTGCTCATTCCACCACTGAGTTTACAATGACTTATGGGTAGAAAAGCCATACTAAGTAATTTACTACACTGCACATGTCAATTTGCACATTGACAATTTATACAGGTATGAAGTCTGCCTTAATTAGTTTAATGGAACAGCACTATAACAACAATAAGGAATATGAATCTTGAGTTCTAGCCCCAACTTTGTCACTTACCATTTGTCATACTCAGGTCATTTTGTTGTGGTGGTGGCAGATCCATAATTTAAAAAAGAATTCACTGGCTCGTGTAACTAAAATCTTCAGGGCTAGGCTACCTTCAGGCCCAGCTGCATCCAAGGATTCCAACACTCCTATCTTTCCATCATTCAGCCCACACAGCTCCAGGGTTCTTTCCATGTAGGTCTCACAGAAGTCCCCAGGCTTGCCCCCCACCCCACCCCACAGCACAAGCTGGCCCTGTGGGGACAGTCCTGGACACATTGGTGTTGGGACTGGCCAGGAGTCATCACAGTCCAGCCTGGACTGGGCTATGCCTAGATATGTGAGCCTCAGACATAGCCAGGAGGTATTTGTCTGGAGGAAGGACAGACAAGGCTGGACAGACAGAGTGCCCCTATAAAAGGAGTTGTGTGCCTTCCCTAGGTCCCAGATCTAAACATAGTGCAGAGTTTTTTAGCAACTCTGTGACTCCCTAGCATTCTGAAGACATGGGAATCACTCCTCAGCAATGCTTATGTAACTGGCTGACATATGGGCAGGGGAAGACCTGCTCTCTGGCTGGATGGTCTGTGGCCTGACTGCCAGGCCGTCCTAAGGAACTAGCTCCTGGCAACTGGCCACACAGCTTACTGTGGTCAGTGCCAGTTCGGGTGGGTCTCCCAGCCTACCATTCCGTGTGCTGGGTAATAAATATTATAGCTGTGGGGTGGATGTGTAGGAGGGGGCCGTGGGGCAGTACTCAGCTCACTGCTGTGGAGTCAGATCTGACTCACAGCGATCCCTCCTTGGGTTTCTGAGGCAGTATCACTATGGAAGTAGACTGCCCAATCTTCCTTCGAGTGGCTGGTGGGTTTAAACCACCAGCCTCTGGATAGCAGTCAAATGCCTTAAGCACCGTGCCTTCATTTCCCAGTCTCCTTCCTGTGCCCTGTCAGGAGCAGCTCCAGTGACTGCTGACATTCACTGACTGCTCACTGCACAGTCAGCCCAGCAGTAGACACCACACATGCTGAGCGCAGCTGCATTCGGAGCAGCAGGGCACGGTGAAGCATTTACAGCCAGAGAAGGCAGACACCTAGGCTTGTCACTGAATGGGCCACACTACAAAAGGAAGTTTAAAGTCCTTTCCAGGAATCAGGACAAAAAGGAGCATTCCATAAAGAAGAGCGTATTTCGGGAATACTGTTTGCAGGAAAGACAGGGAACAGAGGAACACATCATACAATACAAAGGGGATGCGAACTCCAGACAGTGGGAGATGCTACAGAGAAATCTGCGTTTTAACCACAAAAATGGTGAGCGAATAAAGAAAGGGGATTCAATGACCGAAACAGATCTGAGAGAGTCACCACTGAATTGTGAGGAGAACCTTACTGGATTCAGACTGAAAGCGACTGAGCACTTGGGGAGGCAACATGGCCAGGTGAACAGGAGCTGTGGTTACGCTTTAAAGTAAGTGTCCCTGGGAGGGGCACCAGAGGAAAAGGCAGCAGTGGTAACCGCCATTACATGCACTCCTACAGCAACAGCAATAAACAGTGACCTACCAGCAGGCACACAGGTAGACATTCGGGGTTACCAGACGTGGGAAGGCGAATGGGACAACACTCACAGGTATACAGAGGTTTGGCAGAGGGTGTTTCTACAGACATATTTGTATGTGCTGGGTATACAGAGCAAACAGGAGGCAAAGTTTTGAAAACTGAGCCATAACCAAACATTTTGAGGAAATCAGTGACCACGCCTGGGGATTAGGACCACAGTCTCAGGGGACACCAAAGTCACTTGTATAACGTGGTCCACAAAGACAGTGTTCTCCAGCCTACCGTGGTGAGTGGTGACTGGGGTCTTACAGGCTTGCGAACAGCTATCTAAGAAACTACGGGTCTCTCCCTGTCTGGAACAAAGAAGAGAGAAAAAAATCAAAGACAAGAGGAACAATTAGTCCAGAGGACTAACAGACCCATGATCCACGGCCTCCATGACCCTGAGACCAAAGGCTGGTGCCCGGCTACCAAAGACTGCTCTGACTGGGATCACAACAGAAGGTCCTGGACCGAGGAAAACAAAACTTTTTAACAAAATGCTAAATTACAAAAAAGACCAGGCTAAGTGGCCTGAAAGACTGGCAGAAGCCCCCAAGCCTGGAACTGAACCCATTCCTGGAGATCACAGTTCGGTCACGCGATAGGGCTATGAAGTGAACTACACCAGGGAGAAGCGTGTTCCTCGGCAAGACCAACAGGGCAGCATCTGTCCCAAAACAAAGGTCAGAGGCGAAAAATGAGAATGGGGAACCCAGGGAGGAAGTAGGGACAGTGCTGTTACATTGGGATTGCAACAAAACACGAAACAAAGCGTATACAAATTACTGAATGGGAAACAAATTCGCTCAGCAAACTTCCACCCAAACCACAATAAAAAGCATGTCGGAGTAGGACTGCTCAATCCAGTTTTCAAGGCTGTGACCTTTCAGTCGCCAGGCCCATTTCACAGGGCATCTCGGGTGGGTTTGAACCTCCAACCCAGATAAAATAACAGCTGACACGGACACTGAATCTTACAGTGTCTCGGACCTTTTAATAAGGGCTTTAAAAATGAGTAACTCTCAACTCCCTGTACAGTCAGACTGCTACTGTTCTATTTCACTGATGAGTACAAGCCCACTGGGTGGGAAATCTGTCACAGTGACAGCCAAAGCCAGGACGTCAACCCGCAAACACAAGCCCGGGGATGGACAATGTGAGGTCCTGTCCAAAGGGAGGGAGCCCAGCCTGGTGCAGCTTGTGTTCCTCAGACCCCAGTCAATCCACCACAACAGGGCCCACCAGGTGTGGAATCTTTGAAGAGCCCCCACTTGCCTATGCTCCCCGTCAGGCTGGAGACGAGGAGGAATGGGGGTACAGCAGCTCCATCAGCTCAACTGATCATCTGTGGGGGAGGTCTGCTTATGGGTCAGTCTGTAGAGGCGTCTGCTCCTCAGACATATGACCTGGTGGGGGGGTATCTGCTCCTCAGATGACCTAGGGGGGTGCTCCTCGACTGATCATCTGTGAGGGAGGTCTGCTTATGGGTCAGACTGTGGGGGCATCTGCTCCTCAGACATATGACCTGCGGCAGGGATGTGTCTGCACCTCAGATGACCTGGGGGGTTATGTGTCCTCAACTGATCATCTGTGGGGAAGGTCTGCTGCTCAGATGACCTGGGGGGAGGGCAGTATCTGCTCTTCAGACAACCTGAGGTGGGTGTCTGTTTCTCAGACAATGACCCGAGCTGTGTGTGTGTATGTGTTTGTGATGGGGGGCGATTCTGCTCCTCACAGAAGACCTGCCTGAGAGGGTGGGGGGCGGGAATCTGCTTCCTGATGACTTATGGAGGGATCTGCTCCTGGGACAGATGACTAGGTGGCACCATGGCCCTATGGCCCACTCTGCGAGGGTCCAGGTAAGTGTCCTTTATGAGATTTTTATGTTTGAGAGAGTATTTGTAATGAGATGGTTGTTCCTGAAAAATTTTGTTTCGGTTGAGACTGAGTGTTGGAGAAGCAACAATGTGAGTCTTTATTCCTGAGAAGATGGGGTTTATTCTGAGGAGGTGAACACAATGACAAGCCTCACCCCTGCGCCACCCCTGTGCAGCACTTGACCTGAACCACCGTTTGCTTACAGGTCACATGCCACAAGCATAGTGCATGCACGGACCCCAGGGGCTGACACGGGACCTCACTCACTCTCCGGAGCCCTGCCTGTGGATGCCTGTCTCCACCTCCAGGCCTCCACACTCCGGGGCACCCTCCTCAAGCCATGTGTGGTCCTCATCGTCCACACTATCCTCGCTCTCCTGGTCCAACAGGAAGCTCTTGGGGGAGACATCATGGATGGGGGGCTTTGCTTGCTTCTTTTTCCTCTTCATCTGCCTCGCCAGCTCAGCCAGCTGCTCCTGTACTCCAGGCTGCCCCGGGCTCATGCTTGCCAACCCCTTCTCCCTCTTCCTCTTGTATTCCATGATTTGTTTGTTGAGCGCCTCATGGTCAATCCCACACAGACGTGGGAACATATGAGGCTGGTCCAGGAGCTCCCTGTGGGGAGAGAGGAACCTTCACACACCACACAAAAACCCCTACTTCTGTACCATGTCCCCAGAAAAGCCTACTCGGGGTAACTGTGGAGAACAGGAAGGAAGGAGAAAGGAGGCTGTTCCCACTTTGGGTTACTCTGAGTAATGCTGTCGTGGACATCTCCACACCCGTGTGCACATGTGCTTCCAAGTCTCTTGGGTACATGCAGTGAGGAGTGGACCTGCTGGGTCATGTGGAAACACTGTGTCTAACTTTCTGAGGAACTGCAGCCTGTTTCCCACCAGGTTGCACCATTTTATGCTGCCAACAGCACAAATGAGAGTAGGAAACTGCCTTTGGTCTATCTGCACTTGCCCTGGAGCCAGCACTTGGGATGCTGTGAGCTGATGTATTTACAGGGACTCGGGAAGGCCAGCAGTGAGCGGCACAGCCAGTGAGCCCGGGTGGTCTGAATGCAGGTTAACCTACCTGTACCCCTCCTTCCAGGAGCCCTTACTTGGGTCTGTGCTCTCCAAAGTGATGTTTAATACAGAGCTACTTACAATTCAAGAACCCCAGTATAACCCAGACATCAAACTCCAAGAACAGTTCAGTAGATCAGGGCAGAGCTACCCTACATCACAACAAGTAAGATGATGTTCACAAAGAAAACTGAAGATTATGCAGTGCACCTACTCTGTCATTTAAATAAAATCCAACAGACAGACCAGAGGAAGTGCAGGGAGTTGTAACAATGGCACATCTGGGGGTAGGCTGCATCTTCGTTCGTGTCTTAGATTTCATAATTTTCAGTAACCACACATGCTTTTATTGTAACAAAGATACTAATGTGGGCCACAGACTAAAATGAACACACTTTCTGGTATTCCCTGCCTAATGCGGTTTTTGGGTTGTGTCTCTCAATGTACAAACAAAACCAATGAAACACTGGAAATACGCTTTTAAGAGAAAAGTGAAGCATAAGGCGACTCACTTGGCATCATTTGGTACCAAGTCTTCTTTTCCATCGGAGGGCCCAAAGTCGGCAACTGCCAGCAACCGATCAACCTGGAAAGGATGTTGAGGCTGAAATGGGAGCCAGATTTCTCCACCTTGTCACATAGAGCTGGGATCCAGGTTGATTGTCCTCTAGAATTGGCTCACAGCCTGTGCCTTCAAACATCTTCCTGCTATTTGGGTGTACACATTCTCTGATGATAAACTGACACTTGCTAAAAGCTGCACTTAAAACTTGTAAATGCAGCCAACATTATGAAGAAAGCAGCTGAATGTTAGCATTTGCTGACTAGGTCTCTGGCTACATAGTAAGCTATACATGTGAGGGGTGAGATCCATGAGACCTGGCAAAGCAGCACTGGGGAAAAGTTGGCAGAAAATTCCCAGCGTCAGGAGATGTGACGCCACCTACATAGGAGGGCTGAACCAGCCCCAGGTGTAGGCTACTCCAGAAGCATCCTAACAAAGCCAAGACTCAGGAGGATCAAGCTTTCTGTAGGTCACTTAATAGCTTACCAAAGCAAAGCTCAGCTCTCTCTGAAGGAAGACCACAAAACACAGCCCCTCAATGATGCAACTGTACAGTGCATCCAATAAAGGACAAACATGAAAAGCTGGGGGACAGGAGAAAAACCAGTCAACAGAAACAAACTCAGACTGAATGGTAAAAGCAAACAAAGATAAAATGGACTCCTCCAAAACTAAAAATGTGGAGAAGGTATTTGCAGTGCACGTACCTAACTTGTAACTGGAACATACAGTGAACCTTTACAACTCAGTAATAAGCACACAAACTTAGTAAAATCTTAATAAAAAGCAGGCAAAGGACTAGAACAGACAATTCACAAAAGAGGGTCTAGCCAACAAGAACATGAAGAGGTATCACTAGTCACAGGGAAATGCAAATTTAAGCCAGGAGAATGGCACTTGCAGGTTTCCAACATCAGTTACTGCTGGGAATGTGAAATGATGAAACCACTATGTACAGGGCTTGGAAGTTTCTTAAGAGGTGAACACATGTTTGTGATTCCTAGGTACCAGCTTAGAAGAAATGAAAACACACAACACGTACTACAGATAAAAGGATAACTAAGCAACAGTCACCCTCAGGATGATCTGCCCAAATCGACGACTTCCCACTCTCTGGTTGAGATTTGATTTCCTTCTTTTAATCAGTGAGACAGCAATTTCAGGACAGTAGAACAAAAACCAGCCAAAGGGACTTGACCTTCCCTCTTCTTTCTCTCTGCCTCCAATCAACAGTCAAACCTTGAGGTACACAAGGGGAAGTTGCAGAGCAAGAATCAAGCACCCCACCTGCCTCAGCTGGGTAGAGATCAGGCAGACTGAAAGTGATACAACTCCCTCCTGTCATCCGGGAACCAAAGAGTCCAACAAAAACATCCCACAGCACAAGGTCTGCACAAGGACCTCCTACACAAAGCCTGTAAGCACCGCATCTGCGTCCTAGAAAGGCACTCCGAGCCTTGTACAGCCTGGCCAAGTACCGTCCTCCTTGTGTGAGAGGAGGGGAGAAGACAAGACAGCATGCGGTCAGGGGCTCCAGCGGCTTCCCTCCCCCACCTGACGATTTCCATTAGTGCAGAGGTCAATTCTTTGCTAAGTATCCACAGAGCACTTGTCCATGACCTAAATTCCACCTGATTCTTGAAAGCAGGAACTCAGCTCGCCCTTGTTCTTTTCCTAGCTAGAGCAATCCCTTACTGTCCAGGCTACTCACACGTTTTCAATGTTACTTTTATAATGAGTAACAAAAGCAAAAATGTCAAATTAGACTTTTTCTCCCTCTGGATCCAAATACCACCTACCCCTAAAGTTAGGACCAAGTACCTAACTATGACAGTGTAAATGTGATTTACTGGTTTTTGGTCACTAGTTTTTTAAGCTTTGTTACTGGCTGCCATGAAGCCGGCTCTGACTCACAGTGACCTCAGGTAAGAGACTGGACCACTGTGATCCATCAGGCTTACCCTGGCTGATCTGTGCAATGAGGCTTTTCTTCCTAGTCTTGTCTGAAAACTATGCTGCAACCTGTTTAGCACTGCAGCCACACACTAGCCTCCACTGACAGACAGGTGGTGGCTGCATATGAGGTCCACTGGCTAGGACTCGAACTTGGGTCTCCTGAACGTAAGGTGAGAATGCTATCCCACTCATCACTGCCCCCCCTTTAAAGTGGTGTTGTTATTGTCACAGGCTGTCCTGTTGCCTCTGACTCAAAGCGAGTTACACACAACAGAACGGAATGTTGTCTGGTCCTGTGTCATCCTCACAATCGCTGCTATGTTTGAGCCCATGGTGGTAGCCGTTGGGTCAAGGCATCTCACTGAGGGACTCCTTTTTTGTTTTCAAAGTGTAACATACCTTAAAAACTACCAGATAACTACCTCCCAGATCAAAACAGTATACACATTCAGATGTTTAATTTTTACAATTAACCTACATCTAAACCAAGGAAAGAATTACAGCTGTGGAGTCAAAGACTGTGTAAGCCTCAACCTTGTAAAGTAAGTGCGTACTGCTAACAGCCTACGGCAGGCAGTGACGGTGGAGGCAGGAAGGAGGGAGCTCAGTCATCTCATGCTTATAAACCAAGAAACAGACACTGTGTTAGTCAGAGCTCCAGGAGATATATAAAACGTAAGACCCAGGAAAGTGCTCACCTTTAGAGACTGGGAATAAGCAGTGAGCACAGGAGAATCCCCCTCAGTGTTTTGTGAAGCTGTGTACAACTGAAGGTGTCGGTTCTCTGCATAGTAACATTTAGACCACCAACAGGCCATCACCTGGAAGCCTCACCTCAGCCAGAGCTTCATTCCCTCTGTCCTGAACAAACACAATGGGCGGCACATTGCACAGGGTCTGCTGGGCCATCAGAAGGTGCCTGAGGAGAGAGCACATTCACTCAGATACAGTATGGCACCCAGCGGAGTGAGGGAACAGTGCTAAAAATAAAAGTATGTCACGCCTTCACCAGGAACCGAGGCTGGCAGAACAATTACTCCAAGGTGAAAACGTCTGTCCGGAAAATCCCTCACGAGCCAGCTGTCCCACAGTGCAAATGTCAGCATGTGGAGAAAGGCAGATAAAGTCCTGGGATTGGGATGAGGATAGTTTCAACCTCACAAGCCCCTCAATAGGATCACAGGGAAGCCCAAGGGTCCCCAGATTATGGCTGCTAGAAAATGTAAATTAAATTACGCTCTGAAATTCCAGAAAAGTCCCCAAACTTTTCCTTAACAGGAAAAGCAATGAGAAATTAAGGACAACCACCTGCAAGTGCAACATGGCTGGGAAGCTGCCAGGGCAGGTGAGTAGCGTGAACATCAGGGAAGCTGAACACTCTCACCTCATGTGGGCGGCACTCTTCTGTAGGACGGCTTTGGTGTGCCTGTTCTGGTCAGCAGACAGAGACGTCCTCCAGTACACGCGGCAGGCTGAGAAATCTGAAGTCAGAGACACCTAGTCCCACCCACCCCACTGCAGTGACTATCATGTCCACACGTTTTCCAGACAGACAATTACCAGCAGGCAGAGAGCAGCCCCTTCCTTGGCTTTAGGTACACCCACCACTCCTGGAGCCAGCGGCCACTATGGACACCAGAACCTCACCTCCCTTCTTCCCAGGTCCTGCCAGCCACCTGGTTAAGCCCAGCTCCAAGCCCCAGGACACTTGGCTGAGAGAGCCTTTTGCCAAAGATGCTCATCAAAAATGCCTGGTCGGCCATTCATTGTCCCTACATGACACAAGATAGATGGATGTAACTCCTCCTCTTATCCGATGTCCCATGCCACACACTCAGTGACAATGCTACCTGGTCTGTGTGTGGCGGTAACTACCTCTTTGATGTCATGTGTCACACTCACTGTCTGGTCGATGTGCAGTGCATTATCTGCTTCAGCACCCCCGAACACCTGGCACCTCCACCTGCTTCACAACTTAAGCAGCCAGACTTCCTATCACTGTTGCGCCCAAAGCAAAAGGCCTTGAGAATGACATGGTATCTCTTATAAAATGTGAGTGCCAGTGTTTCAATCCCAGTACAACTCTCAAGTCTCTACCCCTTGGCCTACCTTGGAGAGTTCCACATTCAGGTCGCAGACCTCCTGGCTTACTTCAGAGGAGCACAGCAAATCTGTCAGCGCTTTGTAGAGAAGGCCATTTAAGGCCCGTAGGCGTACATGGTCTTCCTTCTTGGTTTTCCCTGAGGTATTCTTCATGAGGAACTCCAACTTAGACGGTCTGTAAGTCTGTAATTAAGCAAAAGAACAACATGTTTGGTGCTTCTGTTCTATCTCCTAGTTAACTACATAAAGCCTGGGGTCTTAACAGCTTGCAGGCATCATCCAAGGCACAATTGGTGTCTAGTCACTTGGTGCAACAGAGGAAGGAAAATCAGGAGTAGGAGGAGGATCTGAAATCGGTGGCTAACTGCTTCCATGAATAATGGCCTCCTTTGTCATGACGCCAGAAGAACTGGATAGTGCCTGCGGTGTACTGAATCACCTGGTATGGCTTTTCTAGCCATTGGTCTTTGTAAACTCCCTGGTGAAATTTGCTGTGAGTGACTGAGGAGCGCCTGATTGTTAAAGTTATCCACCTGAGGTATTTCTGTTGCGGGGGCACAAAGAAATGTCCTGGGAAGTTTGCGCTCTCTCTCAGGTGCTTAGAATTCTGATGTTATGATTGGTTAGTTTAGCCACTCTGCCAGGCTCCAAAGGAGGCCTCCTAGAGGCAGAAGGAGTCTCTCTGACTGCTGGCTGAGAAAGACATGCTGCTGAGAGACACATGCTGCTGAGAAAGAGACACCGAGAGACATGCATTGCTGAGAGAGACACTAAGGGACAGGCACTGCTGGGAGAGACTGAGAGAGACTGTTGGCTGAGAGACAGCGGGCTGAGAGAACCTGAGCGTTGTTCCTGAACTTGAATTGTAGCCTAGTGCTTCCCTAATAAACCCCGTAATCTGTGACTTCTGTGTGGCCACTGCAGAGAATTATTGAACACAGCAGAGAGGTGGTGGGTGCTGCAGGAGGAATGGTTGGTGAAAGGGCTGGAGGGACGCAGCATGTCTGGCCTCACAGGGATAGGCCTTGGGCTACTGATGGTGATTCTGTCTTCCTCTTGTGCGGTTAGAGGAGGTCAGCAGATGTGGCCTCCTTGCCTCTTTGGCGGTGCCCAACTACCATTACTGAACATTTTGATCAAAGATTCCATAGACGAATCCTGACCCAAAGGAGGAAAATATAGTACAGAATTTCAACAGAGGAAGGAAAATCAGGAATAGGAAGAGGATCTGAAATCTGTAGCTAATTGCCTCCATGAACAATGGCCTCCTTTGTCATAAGACCAGAAGAACTGCATGGTGTCCAACTACTATTCTGAACATTTTGATCAAAGATTCCACAGATAAACCCAGATCCAAAGGGGGAAATTGCAGAACAGAATTTCAATTCTCACAGAACTCTAGACTTTCTAGAGCCATGGAAGGTGGACGAACCCCTGAAACTACTGCCCTGAGATTTAAACCTTAAACCAAAAATATTCCCTGAAGTCATCTTAAAACCAAATAGTTCAGCTAAACTAGTGAAAAAAGGTCTGCCTTAAGTATTATGCTCTTTTAGGAACTAGCTCTATGGGATCAAACTGACAACAGCAACTCACAATGTTAAATAGGAACCTTGGAGAGAGCGAGTTTATGTTAATGAGAGTAACAACTCAAAAAAGAAGTGAAAGAATGGCTATGCAACTACATGGTCACAGCATATAACTGATGTCACTCAATTGTACCCAGAGAAACTGCTGAATGGGTATATGTTTAGCTGTGTATATTCTTAACAACAAAATACAATTTAGAATAAAAAAGAACACAAGAAGGCAACACAAAAATCGTACACTAAACCTCTACTTATTTACAAAAAAAAGAAGGCTTGAGAAGGACTTGAACAACTGGATAAATGTAACGAGCAAAAACTACTCTCAGACATCTTAGTTTCATTAAGAACAAGTCTATTTTACAGACAAGGATCCTTCTAGATGGTGTCTAGCATCCCTCCAAGTTTAAAACTCATGCCATACTGCAAATTTAAGGTTTTTTTTATATTGAGATATAAACCACATGCCAAAAATAACTCATCTTTTTAAAAGTATACAGTTCAGTGGTTTTTAGTATACAAGTGTATTTATTTAAATACTAGTAACTGCAAAAATTCTAACAATGTCCATTTATCGTATAAAATTATACAGTAGTTACGTATGTATGTTAACTAAACACTGAATGCATATTGACCATTAGAATTTGATACTAGATATATTCTGGAAAACTTTAGTGTCAGTAAATTTTAGTTAAGTCAAAATTCCATGTTACCAATGGCAACCAGTCCCATCCATACCAATATTTTACTCTTCTAAATATAAAAATGGAA